TTATTATTAATTTCTTTAATTTCTCTTAGATACATTTTATATCTTTTGTCAGATTTATCACTAATTATTCAATTTTAATGCTATTATAAATGGTAATTTTTATTTCAACTTCCAACTGTGTGTTGCTAGTATATAGGAAAACTGATTTTTGTCAGTTGATCTTGTATTTAACAACTTAGCTAAACGTGTTTACTCTAAACCTACAACAGAATTGGGAGATTCCATTGGATGTCCTACATAGACTATCATGTCATCTCAAATAAAGACAGTTTTACTTCTTCCTTTCCAATCTGGATGTCCTTTATTGCTTTTTCTTTTTATTTTGTAATCCTCGCCTGAGATATGTTTTTACTGATTTTTTATTTTGGGGGGAGAGAGCAATATTGATGTGAGAGAAACATTGATCAGTTGCCTCCCATATGTGTTGGGGCCAGGGTTCAAACCGGAAAGCTAGGTATGTGCCCTGACCAGGAATCAAACCTGCAACCTTTTGGTGTATGGGACAACGCTCCAACCACTGAGCAATACCAGCCAAGGCCATAGCAAGTATTGATGAGGATAAGAAGAACTGAAACCCTTGTGGACTTCTGGTGACAATGTCAATGTTACAACCACTTTGGAAAACAATTTGGCAGTTTCTTAAGTTGAACATACAAGGAACATATGATCCCCTCAGTCCACTCCTAAGTATTTGCTCAAAAGAATATAATTATTGACCATATAAAGACTTGTACACAAATGTTAATAGGTTTTTTTTTTGTTTTTTTTAAAAATATATTTTATTGATTTTTTACAGAGAAGAAGGGAGAGGGATAGAGAGTTAGAAACATCGATGAGAGAGAAACATCGATCAGCTGCTTCCTGCACATCCCCCACTGGAAATGCGCCCGCAACCAAGGCACATGCCCCTGACCAGAATCGAACCCGGGACCCCTCAGTCCGCAGGCCGACGCTCTATCCACTGAGCCAAACCGGTCAGGGCTAGAAGTTTTATTTGTAGTAGAACCCAAGCTGGAAACAGCTCAACTGCCCATCAACAGGTGAATGGATAAACAAGCTGGCATATTCATCAAATGACACACCACTCAGCAGTAAAAACTCAATGAACTATCGCTACATATAACAACATGGATGAATCTTAAAATTATCATGCTAAGTGAAAGAAGCCAGCCAAAAAAGAATACCTACTGTATGACTAAACTGTAGAGAATTCAAAGCTAATCTACAGTGATAGAATAGAGATTAGTGGTTGCTTGGAAATAGGGGACAGGGAGGTGGGAGAGGGAGGGATTACAAAAGTACAAGTGAAAACTTTTGGAGGTGACAGATACGTTCACTATCTTGATTGTAGGGATGATTTCATGGGTATATACTCATATAACATTGTACACTTTAAACACGTGCAGTTTATTATAAACTATATATAAACTTTAATAAAATGTATGTACATGTAAACTTTGTGAATAAAATTATACCTCTTTATTGAGGTATCAGTGACATACAATCAACTACATATAAACCTTTTGTTTTAAAACTTGGTCCCAGAAGTGAAAATGTTCCTTCCTGTCATGTTTCATTGGCCAGTGAAAGTCATTAAATGTTCACACCTCGCTGCAAGGGGCTAGAGAAGTGCATTCCTACCACATGCCTGCCTAGTGTTGAATATCTGTGTTTGTGTACAGTCCCAATGACTCTTAATGACTCAGCAGTAAGCATGCTGTTTTTTTATAAATAGAACACTTGTCCTAGTTGTTATGTAATGGAATTCACATTTACTTGCTGAACCAACAAACAATAGTAGACTTAGCAGGCCTCACTCAAAAGTCCTGCAAAGGTTCAGTTGTTTAGCTTATAATAGTGAGGAATGCGAGTTAAATCAAATAGTCCAAGTAAGCCAGGCCTCTCCCTACTAATTCTGAAATTAGTGCTTTTTAGAATCTAAGAAAATAAACAGAACCAGGAGAAAACATGAACAACCATTTGATCTAGTTCCTGTCTCCTACATAATTAGATTTCATGTAAATCATAGAAGACAAATGGAGGGTCAGAGACTTTATAATGGCAAATTGTTTCCTAAGTTTATTCTCTTTATGGTCAAGAAATTGTTTCTCATGTCCAACTAAATTTTTTTTAATTTAAACTAATTTATTTTTGTTCTGTTCTTATCAGTCACTTTGTGAAAAATGTATTTTTTAATCCTCACCCGAGGATATGTTTTTACTGATTTGAGAGAGAGAGGGAGGGAGAGAGAGTAACATCGATGTGAGAGAGAAACATTGATATGTTGCCTCCAGTACACGCTCTGATGGGGGAATCATACCCTCAACCTAGCTATGTTCCATCACCAGGGATGGAACCCGCAATCTTTCGGTGTACTGGATGATGCTCCAACCAACCAAGCCACTAGGCCAGGGCTCTTATCAGTCACGTTGATGAATTGGTCACACACAAAAAGCTCTGTGGCATAGAAAAAGGTTAACATCCTTATTGTACAAGAAACTCTTGTACAACAGTAAGGAAAAAAGGTAAACATTTTACTTATTTTTCTAGCAACATGGCAAATTGTATTACTACAGCCTCTAACTCACCCCTAGCAGACCTTCTTTCTGAAAAAACACATAGAAATGCTGCATCTGCTCTATTATTTTCTGTACTTTTTATGTGTACTTTAAAACATTTCTAATTTTTTGCCCTGGCCAGGCAGCTCAGTTGGTTAGAGTGTGATCCTGATACACCAAGGTTTGGGGTTCAATCCCTGGTAAGGGCCTGTATAAGAATCAACCAATAAATGCATAAATAACCAGAACAAATCTCTCTCTCTCCTTCCCCTTCTCCAAAATCAATAAATAAAAATTTTTTAAATAAAAATATCAATGAGATGACATTTTAGCTGTAAAATTAGTAAATATACGTTAAAAATAAAAATGCCTCAGTATTACCAAGGATATCAAACCTATATTTACAGTAGGATATCAATTGGTACAAATTTTCTCATTGTGTGAGAATGATGGGAGTGTGCATATTTTTAATTTTTTTGCTAATGTGTATTTTCTAAGTTTTCTATAATAAACATGTGCTACTTTTATAACAAAATATACACTTTTAACTGAAGGCAATATTGCTATTAAAGTTCTCTCTTACCCTTCTCCATGCTAACAAATTTTTTCTTCTTTTTTTATAAGGCCTTATTTTCACTCTGAAATCATATTTTTTTTCAGAATTTTTTCATTTTCTCCATGTCCTCAATTCAGTCAAGCTTATGTTCTGAATTAGTCTACCACAACAAGTTTGAAATTTTAAAAAATGCTTTTCTGATTTCTCTTTTAAATTGTAAAGTTATATTTGCATTGCATTTTGCCTAAAGCATCCATTAGCTAGATTGACATGTAAAAACATGTTCTTACTAACTGTATTCTTTCGTCCAAAATTACTTATTAAGTACCTTTTAAGTACTCTGGTAGTGTCCCTCTGTGTCCTAGCAGAGAGGTATGGGTATCCTGTATGTGGGTAAATACTATACATGTGTATGTCCATTTGTATAAAACATATGCCAGTCACTAGACTTGGTGCCCTATAAGCTTTACTTCATTAAATTCTCACAACAATCTTTTTGTCTTAAATATATTTTTATTGATTTCAGAGAAGAAGGGAGAGGGAGAGAAAGCTAGAAACATCAATGATGAGCGAGAATCATGGATCAGTTGCTTCCTGCACACCCCCCACTGGAGATTGAGCCCGCAACCTGGGCATGTGCCCTTGACCAGAATCGAACACGGAACCCATCAGTCCGCAGGCTGGTGCTCTATCCACTGAGCACACCAGCCAGGGCTCACAACAATCTTATGAGATGATTGCTTTATTTCTATTTCATGGATAACGTTTAGAGAGGGGCTGTAATATGCCAGAGAATAGTTGGTAAGAGCAGGAGCCAAGCCTTGCAGATGGCATCCAGGCAGGGAAGAAGGTAGAGAAATGAAATTGTGTATGAGGTCAGATGAAAAATGCCACAAATGTGATAAAAAGCAAAGACCTTTCTGGACCTTCATTGATTTCAATAATTTTACCCCACATGGCAGGCTTCAAAGCGTGTACACAGAGCAGTGGCATGGGACCCCACATTCAGACAGACCCTGCACTTGGTGTTTACTGCTATGCAGTTGCCACCTTAAAATTCTAAGTATTTTTTCTTTAAATTTCTGTTTTGTAAATGAAGTCTGATGAACACTGGAAGCATGTGCCTTGGAGTCTTCAGCTGCCATGCGGTTTGCCTGCTGTCAGCTCCCCAACTTTTGGCAGCCGGCGCTCCATCACCTGGTGCCTGGGGCTTTGCCAGGCCTCACCCTCACCACGTCTGCCCTCCCGACTGTGACCACTGCCACTCCCCCCGGGTGACAACCAGGTTGTATTCTGCTGAGGCTCATGTTCCGAGGCCCATGTTCTGCTGTGACCCTCTGCCCAGTGGGGCCCTGGGCTGAGGCCCAGGAAGGTTGGGGTGTGTCACGGACACCCCGGGAATGCTTTTCAGCAAGGTGAGGGCACCACAATTGTTTGGGGGAGTAAAGGCGAGGAAACTCGCCAGGGAAAGGCCTCTCGTCCACCCCCCAGTCCAGGTACTGAGTATGTTCAGACGCTGAGACTGCTGCAGGGTCAGCAGCTGGAGGAAGGGGGCGTCCAGCTGCCCGACAGGACCTGCACTTACCCTGCGAGTATCCCCTCCCCAAGCGCGTTACATTAAACAGCAAATACAAAAACACTCAGGCAGGTCAAGAGAGCAACCAGGAAAGAGAGGAAAGGCTTCATATAGTGCCTTTAACAGTACATGTTTCCTGCTTTTTGAACAAGGGGAGTATATCTTCATTTTGTACTGGGCAGGAAATTATGCAGCCAGCCCTGCTGTTCTATGGCCAGACCACGTGTCACTGTAGCTGCCCGTGACAGGGGAGGGGACAGTTCACTCTAAGAGGAAAGGTGACTTATTTGATTACTCCACCCTTATTTACCTTTGTCTTCCAAGTGTTTATACTCAGTCCTGCTGCTTGCTGTTCCTGGTGCTGGAAGGCGAAGGCGCTGGTCAGAAGAGAAGGGCTGTTTATTAAATGGACAGCAACGTTCAAAGCAGAGCTGCCCCAGGGTGTGTTCCTTTTAGCTCTACTGAAAGCTGCTTTCCGCAGGGATCGCTCTGGCGAAAAGAGGTTCTCCCTTTTAAAGATGCCTGTTTGTGTGCCAGACAGGTCTCTGAACACCGCTTCCTGGACGTTGCTTCTTCCTGCAGATAAGGGCCTTCATGCACTGGAACAGCAACTTGGTACCGATGCCGGGGTGACAGTCAACAGGGACATCTCCACATAGAAAGAACAGGACAGACAGTTCTCACAGTCACGGCAAGGCACGCCCCTGGAGAAGGCACTCTTGGGTAAATCTGGTTTTCTTACACAAACAATGTAGTGAGGGAGCTGCATGCCTAAGGGTGTCATCTCAACTCTTCCCTTTTAATGACCACAAATGCCATATTCAAATCAGCTGAAACCATGTAATTGTATACTGTCCAATAGTTAAGTTCTCAAAATGTAAATCACTTAGTCTGGTAATAGGGAAATAGATCTTATAAATTTTCAGTTAATTTTGTTTAATTGTTAAGGAGATTTCTTGGGGAGGGGGCTTGTGCATGGATGGAAAATGTGGGGAAGAATGGGCCAAAAAAGCATAGAGGAGCTATGGGCAGAGAAGGGAGAAGCTAGGGGGACAGTAGCTTCGGGGGTGGTATGGATGCCCTCCCTGGCATCACCTCCTAACAGTGTGTATCTGGCAAAGAGCTCCCAGGAGAAACTGCTGAAGGGTGAGCTTCTCTAAGTCAAGGGCTACCCTATCATGTTTTTATTACTCGTTCCTAATGAAATGAACATTTAGGTCCTTGAAATGAGAAATATATTTCTATGCTGGAGACAGACTTAAAAACACTCTTTGACCTGCCTAAAATCTATGCTTAGCTGGGGTATAACCAGACATACGATGATAAACACCCAACTTATCTACATAGGACTTAGATTTCTAGTCATTTTTTAAACAATTTCTAGCCATTTTAACCTTCTTTTACCAAAATGTGTTCTTGATAATGGGGTAAGAGAAAAAAGTAAAGAAAATGGTATTATTTCCTTGCCCCTACCAGAAGGCAAAGTAGCAAATGTTGGGATCCCTTTTCCTACGATCCCTGTCTATCATACTGAGGTTTCCTCAGGTCCCACCCTTCTTCCTCCATTAGCTCCGTGGAAATGATTGTGTCTTAAAAGCAGAGAGCTCTATAATCAAAAGATGGAGGTGAAAAATCAGAACAAATCCCAGGGATCCCAGGACCTGTAATAGTGCAGTTCTTAGGACTATTCTCTGGGTCCACCTCCTGGCCACCAAATCTGGAGAGGGTTGATGGCGGTTTATAAGGGCCAGGCCCAAAAGGGTACATACACATCAGGGTGACTAGCCTCCCACTGGCCACAATTCAGCCACAGAACCTAACTGCAAGAAAGGCTAAAGCTGTGGTCTGTGGCACTACCTCTGCCACGCTAAACAGATGCTGCCACAAAACCTAGGAAAAGTTCAGACATTGGAAGCACAACACTTTGGAAGCCCGGGGTGTTGGAAGTTTGGGGCTGAAAACTGGAAGATTTACTAAAAGTTTCATAAAGTACAGTTTAGACCCTGTGCAGTCAGGCATTTGTCCCTCTCCCACCCCCAGAAGAAGGTGGGCGGTTTATTTATTTTTTTAAAATATATTTTATTGATTTTTTTTACAGAGAGGAAGGGAGAAGGATAGAGAGTTAGAAACATCGATGAGAGAGAAACATCAATCAGCTGCCTCCTGCACACACACACACCCCTCCCCCCCCCCCCCACTGGGGATGTGCCCGTAACCAAGGCACATGCCCTTGACTGGAATCGAACCCAGGATCCCCTCAGTCCACAGGCCGACACTCTATCCACTGAGCCAAACTGGTCAGGGCAAGGGCAAGGTGGGCGGTTTAACCTTTGAAGTGAACACACAGGCTCTGGACTTGGAAATACCAGCATGGGTATGTGAAGATGAGAAACCCTACCGAAAACCATGGTATTAAGTTCAAGTCTAATGGCTAAGAGTTGATATTCCCAGCCTCTTTCTCCCACTCAGTCCCAGGATACTGACAGCCATACTTTACCTTTCCAGGCAGGATTCCTCTTCAATAAAAGCAAAGGGCCTAGGAGAAAGGACTTACAGATCCTTCCAGTGAAATGGCTGGGCCCCAAACATTTGCAGAGCCCCATTCACTCACAGAGAATCTTCCAATGAGCTTCTCAGCACCTCACATTTATAAACCTGTGAACAAGGAGAAAGCCAAGAATTACCAACTAATTAAAGAGAGCCTCTAAAATGAAAGACAAAGTACAAAATACACAAATAGAAAGTTAATCCAGATCTAAGAGGCAATATAAAGAGCAAAAGAAACCTTAGGGTAAAAGCATTATTAATTAGTATCTTCAGAGAGCTGTGAGAATGTATTGTATACATAAAAGAAAAAACAAGGTTGCTATAGAAAAAGCACGTTCCTGTGACAAGCAAGAGCTTTTGAAAATTAAAACAAAAGTAGGATAGACAGAATTAAGAATTCAGTAGAAGGGGTGAAAGATAAAGTTGAAAAAGTCTCCCAGAGAGTAGAACAAAAGGCCAACAGAGGAAAACTGGAGAAATAAGAGAATAAAATTCTAGGATCAATTTAGGAGTTTCAACATCTCACTGATGGAAGTTCCAGAAAAATGAGATAATGGACAGGAAAATTATCAAAGAATTTCCCAGACCTGAAAAGGCCCACCGGACACTCAGAACGGTGAAGGAAAGCAGACTTGCACTACTGCACATCACTGTAGAAGTTCAGACAACCAAGGATGAAAAGAAAAGTTGAAGAACTTACAGAGAGCACAAGCAAGTCACAACAGAAACCAGAAGCTAATGGCAACACCAAAGAAACCCCAAATAATCTAATTAAAAAGTGGGCAAAGGACTTGAATAGACACTTCTCCAAGAGGACATATAATGGCCAATAGACACATGTAAAAATGCTCAATGTCACTAATTATCAGAGAAATTGAAATAAAAACCACAATGAGATATCACCTCACACCTGTCAGAATTGCTATGATCAATAAATCAGCCTTAGCCGGTTTGGCTCAGTGGATAGAGCATCGGCCTGCGGACTGAAGGGTCCCAGGTTCGATTCTGATCAAGGGCACATGCCTGGGTTTCGGGCTCAATCCCCAGTAGGGGGTGTGCAGGAGGCAGCTGATCAATGATTCTCTCTCATCATGGATGTTTCTATCTCTTCCTCTCCTTTCCTATCTGAAATCAATAAAAATATATTTTAAAAATAAAATAAAATAAATAATAAATCAACAAACAACAAGCATTGGTGAGGATGTGGAGAAAAGGGAACCCTCGTGTACTGTTGGTGGGAATGCAGACTGGTATAACCACTGTAGAAGCAATATGGAGTTTCCTCAAAAAATTAAAAATGAATGCCCTGGCCAATGTGTCCCAGTGAGCATTGGCCAACACATCAAAGGATCAAGGGTTCGATTCCCAGTCAAGGGCATGTTTTGGGTTTTAGGTTCACTACCTGCCAATCAATGTGTTTCACATCGATGTTTCTCTCTCTCTCTCTCTGCCCCTCCCTCCCTTCCACTCTCTCTGAAAAGCTATGGAAAAAATATCTTCAGGTGAGGTTTAACAAAAAATTAAAATTAAAAATGGAACTGCCTTATGACCCAGAGATTTCATTTCTGGGAATATATCCGAAGAAACCCAAAACACTGAATCAAAAGAATATATGCACCTCTGTGATCATTGCAGCATTATTTACTGCCCCGACCTGCAGGGCACGCTTCGTGGGTACACCGCACCAAATCCTGCAAAGGAATGAGAGGATAGGAGACGTGAAGAAATGGAGGCAAGACAAAGTTCTGATCAAGCCTCAGTTTTATTCTTTACAGCGAGTGGTATTTATACTTTTTCTAGAGGATGGGCAAAGGAAGTCGTTAAGGATGTAACAGACTTTGGAATGTCGCAGCTTATCAGCGGAGATGTAGCTTGCTTTGTGCTTAGGGTGAGGGTATGTTATTTCTTAACTCCAGGCTAAATTGCAAGGTTAACTTTTAACTCCAGGCCAAATCAGGAGTTGGCTTGGAGGAGCCAGAAACCTCTTGTTGTAAGCTGGAGATGTATATGTGATTTATAATGGCTCCCAACAATTCCTCCCTTACCATTTAGTTAAGGGTGGGCATTAACCGACTGGGGGAGTAGTGACCTGGTTCCTCCCATGAGATCAGCAGATCTCACCTCTGGTGGCTCTTGGTATCTTTTGGGGAGGAGAGGCAGAGCCAACAATTATATATGTATGGATACCAACCTCTATGCAAACCAGGTGTGCTCACAGAGAAATCCAGAGGCGGTCGAGAAAATTTTGATTTTCTGTTTTGACCTTCCCTTGCAGTGCTTTCCCTGCACCCAGACGGTGCCCATACCATACCTCTATATAGAGTGTAGGTAAGCATTCCTCTGGCTTTATGCTGTCCCCGTGGGGAGGGAGCTCTGGCAATCACAATCACATTCTCGGTCTATAGTAGTTAAACGGTGGTAGTGAACCTGAATGGGTTTGGCCAGGATGCTATCAATTTGCTGTTTGACAAAACTCATCAGTTTCTTAAAAGCCCATGGACCAAAGGTTAAAATTAACAGTAAGCTGACAAGGGGGCCAAGTGCAGGAAGCAGGTAGGGGAGTAGGCCATTGAGTCCGCTCCAAAGGGGGTTTTCGAACAGCTCTCTTCGCCTTTTCACCAGATCTTCCTGGAGTTTTCTTATCTTGTCTCAGATGATTCCAGATTTGTTGGCATAAAAACAGAAGCGTTCCTGTAGGGCTAAACATATTCCTCCCTGCTCTGCTATAAGTAAATCTAATCCTCTTCTATTTTGTAAAACTACTTCTGCTAGGGAGTCAATTTGGTCTTGGAGATCATTGATAGTACCTGAAAGAGCCTGAACATCAATTAACTGATTGATTAGATAATTTATTATAGGTATGTCCTATAAGTAAAGGAATAAATTGGACAGCCCGCTTACTGCATCCAGCAATGTAATCAAGGCTGGGTAGGGGGACAGGTTCTCCCCCTGGAATAATATCAATGTCAGGGAGAATACTAGCCTGAACACATAATCCTGTCCAGTTTAAAGGTAGAGCTGTATAGGCCATATTACCTCCACATACAAACACTCGTCCAGGAGCGGGGCAAAGGGAGGAACTGTGATTGTGAACGGGAGAGCAGTTAACAAAGCTAACGAAGCCTACATCTAGATCATAACTATTATTCTGGGGGAGTTTTTGTAGACATGAGGAAAAGTTGAATGCATCTGGAATGACAAGGGGCATAGGTGTCTAGATCTACTCCTCGTGATTTAGGTAAGGCTAAAGGGTGATAGTGGAGGGGAGGATACATGTTTCTAATGAATTCTTCAAGTTATGGACAGTAAATGACCTTAATCAAATTTCTGGTATTAGTTTTTGGGTAAATTTACATAAACTTTGTTTAAGGAGACAAAACACAAATTATTTAATTTAGCTTTTGAGGCCCAATATATTGATTTTTAATTTTAGTTAGGCATCTGAAGGAAACCTTTTTATTTCCTTCCAGACAGCTTTCTTTCTCACACAAGCAACAAATGTAAGAAACATGGTTGCCTTTTGAGATTTTAACAAATACTGTCGCAAAGCTATATATTTCAAGTGATTATTTTAAAAAGGCAAAGCGAAGCAAGTAAATTTAGTATTTAGTAAACTTTTGATTCACAAGGGACAAATGCTGCCCCACCTCCAGCCTAATTTAAAATGCAGCGGCGAGGAGCTTTTGTTATTTCAAATTACATCTTAAAATTCCACTGCTGTATTTTAAGAAATATTAAACAAAATTACTTGTTTTGCCCTTTCTCAGAGGCAAAAACTTAAAATATATTTATTAATTTATATTTGATAAAGCTTTCCATGTGATTTCAAGTATATTAAATTGGCTTTATTAAAAAACCTTTAAGAAGAGAGAATAAACTTTTGAAAACATTTCAGGGCCCATGAAATGTCCCAAAGTCATTCCTTGGTTATAGTTTTGAAATCTAACTTGGAAGACCATCAAACATATACGTATATATATGATTTAAAGATTATATACCTTTTATAATTATTAAGAGATCAATTAAATTTAAACTGATCTTTGTATATAAAATTTCTGTTGGGATCACAGAATTTATCCTCTTTTTTCAATTAGACAAATGTTGAAATTTTACTATAATTATATGATTTTTCCAAATTTATTCAACCAGAACTTTAAACTCTTAGCTGGCAAGTTAAATATTTAGCATTTCTCAATCAGTGACATTTTTAGGAATAAACTTCAAAAAATGCAGGACATAATCAACCAACAGATTTAATTCTGTTCTTTAGATTTTGTACGAAGCACACTTATATCTTATTTAATTCAGTATTATGTCACTTCAAGATACCTAGGTATAAACTCCAAGGTCTTAAATTTCACAGCAGATTTGGAAAACCACACTTGAGGCTGGCAAGGCAGGCCTGGCCCCAGCCTTTGATTTTAAAACGACCATAATTTTTCCTCTGGGGAAGGCCAACAAACAAGGTTGTAGATACATTGCTTCCTGCCCCTTGCTAGTCTGTGGGAAGTTTCAATATTGGCCTGGGGGAGGAAGGGGGGGGCGCTGTTTTCCCTGGAAGAGTAAATTGACCACATTCTTTAAGAATTTGCTACATGTGGGAAGCAACTAGCCCCTTTTCTCATTAGAAATGTTTTGGCCAGTCTTTTCAATTAACAAAGGGCCGGTTTTTTACCGGGCTACTTAAATTTTTATAATTAATATAGATCAATAATTCTTGAGATTCAAATCTAAATTATTATTTTAAGGCAGTTATTTTGGTAAATTTTCTGTAACAGACAATTTTACTAAATTTCTTTGAGGCTTTTAAGATTAACTTTGGAACAGGCTTTATTAACATTTCAAAAATCACTCTTTATTATGGAAATATACCAATCTTATTGTTCCTGCGTTTCTTCCCTGGCTCAAATACACCATTTTTCTTAGGAAATAAGCAGTCTTGGGTTTTATTCTGTACATTTGCAAAGAGATTTTTAGCTCAAAACTCTATCTAAATGTCCAAAATCGGATGATGCGCGCTTTTAGTTCCAAGCCAGTTTTTCTCTTTACATGTGAACAGAAATCCCAGAAAGAAGGCTTTTAAATCTTTCTTTTTAACCCTAAATCCT